AGCCTTGGGCATGCTGAGCATATACTCTATTGATGAGCTACACTCCCAATCCTCTCCTTCTATTCTAAGCCTGGAGTTTCAGATTAAAAACAAACAAACAAACAAACAAACATACAAACAACAAACAAATCCTTGCTGGCATTTGGTTTCCCTGGTAGCTAATGGGCTGGAGGCTGACTCTGAGCCACTTTTCTGGGTGAGGAGACTGAGGAAAGGGTGACCGTCTCTATTGAGTGCTTTCTTTCTTTCCTTAGTGGCAGCAGCAGCCTTGGCTTTGGACTTTGGGGGAAGCCAAGTGTGCAGTCCACCATGAAACTGTGCCTTTGGCACACTGGTTCTTGTACTCGAGCGAGAGTCAGAATCCTTTAATCTCGTGCTGAACCAAACTGTAGGACTCCACCCTAGTTTGTGATTCAGTAGGTTTTGGGAGGGCCCTGGGTGGTTTGCATTTCTGAAAAGACCCAGCTGATATTGTTGCAGCTGGTCTGGCTTAGAGAACCGCTGGCCTGAACAGTGGACCTGAAGCAAGACCAGAGTGAAAGCTCTGCCCATCAGGAAAATTCATCCTTGATCAAGCCCTGCTTGCGTCATTTGCTCAGGTAACTGAAAATTTTTTATCCAATAAATATTTTGTGACTTGATAATTTCCACTTGTAGAACCAGAGAAACTGGATATTTACCATCAGATATTTACACAGACCAAACATACATTGTTATACACGAGGTAAAAACGAGATATGGGCACTCTGCCTTTCTTGCAAACGTTGTTCCCTAAAACCTAGTCTCTCATGGATCTGTATCAGTGACTCATATTTAGACCAAGGACAACACAGATAAACTCACCATCAGAAGTAGCCTTGTGCCTTGAACTGTCTATCACCATACCCCCACCTTGAAACAAGCTCCATTTGTCCTACATATCAAAATTTGGAGAGTAGTTGCTAATCATACTATTAATATGCACCCATCTGAAAATGAAGTAGCTAATGATAGGCTCTAATGTTAAGGTTATGGTTGTTCCAAAAGTTTTCACATCCGAAAATTTTTTACTATACTCACAAAAAGACCAAAACTGGTGTCTTGGAGGAATCTAGTTTGTGCCCTCTGTCGCTCGCCAGGGGCCTTGTTTGCTGCTCGACCACTGTCTTTGTGCAGCTGTAGTAAGAAAAAAGGAAGACAGTGAAGGGGTGAAGGCAGAAAATGCCGCATTGGGTGTGGATTATTTTAAGCTGAAACCTCCTGAAGAAGTGTAACCCCGAAGGGCCATTTAGCCTGACTTGTGCTGCATCCGGAAGGCCATGTGGTTTCTTCTGGAGATGGGCTGGGATGTAGCTCAGTAGTGGAGCGATTGCCTAAGGTGTACAAGGCCCTGAGTTTGTCCCTTAGTACAGCAAAAAGCGAATAAAAAGGTTCTCTGCGGAAGGATATTTTTTATACACTCTGATGGAAAATAGCCCTTATTCAGAGACTAGTAACCCGGGCTTTAAAAAAATAAACATGCTCTTCGAGCAGTTCTTATCTTCCACCACGTCCTCCCTCGCCCCTATACACCTCTTAGTAACATCCCTAAATTTACTAACCTAGTCCAGCACACACCTATCTTTTCATTGCCTTATAAAGTTAATGTTCTTAATTTTACAAGTATAAAGGTACCATGGTTTGGTTATTTCTTCAGACTTCACTGTCTTGTGCAAAGCACCATGTACGTATGGAATTAATAAACTTCCACTTCTCTCATCAATCAACTCTTGTATTCATGGGTTCCTAGATCCAGCCAAAGAGCCCACATAATAACTAGCAGGGCTGGAGGGGCTCTCCCTCCTCCCAGTGGAGGCCTCTGCTCTTGAATCAGAATCATTACTAATGGTAGAGTACCCTGTGGAGGATAAAACCCATCATTCCCTTAGCGGGACTTGGGGAAGAAGCATGAGTTACTTTCAGTAAAATTCCTGTTTCACTGTTCTTAAACTCACATTGTTTTGCACTGTAGCTGCCAGAATACTGATGTATTTTACAATAGGTATTGTTTTACCATCACAGTTGGTCAGATGGTTGTCATAATGTGGTGTCATTGCTTGCACAAGCACAAATCTGGTGATAGTTCTCAGTGGTTGATTTGGCTACTGTAATCTCCATGTTGTATGAGTTTATAGAAAGCCCCCTGGAAAAGAAATGTATTGCCTCTTCTCTAAAAACTTTCCATGACTCTATGGCAAAGGAAAGTACCTACATAGTGAAAGAAATGTTTTTGCCAGTTGTTCCTCAAAGGACTAATATCTAAGATATATAAAGAACTGAAAAAATTCAGATGCCTCTTTCCCTTGCTAAATTTAAAGATCCAATTAAATCCCAGAATGACACACACACACAAAAAAGGGCATCTGAAATGATTAGACACTTCTCAGGTGAAGAAATACAAATCACCAATAAATACATGAAAAAATACTTCACATGCTGGCCAATTGGGAAATGCAAATTAAGACAACCCTGAGATTTCATCTCACTCTAGAAGGAATGGCTATGATCAAGAAATCAACCAATAGCAAGTGCTAGAGAGGCTGTAGGGGAAAAGGAGTCCTTCTTTACTGTTGATGGAACTATAAATTGATACACTAATATGGAAATTAGTGTAGAGACTCCTCAAAAATCTAAAAGTAGAAATTCCATTAGACCTAGGTATCTACCCAAAAGAGTTAAACACATCATACCACAGTGGTGTATGCATATCTAGGTTTATAGCAGTGCAATTCATAATAGCTAAATCTTGGAAACAGCCTAGTTCTTCAACACATGAATGGATAAAAATGTGGCATTAAACACCATGGAGTACTACTCTGCCATAGAAAGGATACTCGTGTCATTTGTGGGAAAATGGATGCACATTGACACCTAATATTAAGTAAAGTCAGATAAACAAGCTTAAATACCATATGGTTTCTCCTATCTAAAAACTCTCTAAATATATATTTATATAAGTATGAAATAAAAGACAGATAATGGAAAAAAAGAGAGAAAAAAGGTACTGTAATCCAGTGTGGATAATGCATCTAAAAGTGTACCTTGACTTACTACGATTGCCTTACATGTTTTATATGTTTTCTGGTCTATTAATCTTGTTTTCAACCTGTATATTTGATAATTAACTCTATAAGTTCTTATAAACAAAATGAATCTGATGCTGGAAAAATAAAAGGGAGGCGGGGTGGGGGAAAGAAGGAATTTGGGAATTGAAATGTGTTACGTACATACCCTACAGTGAATGGAGTCATTATGTACTGCAAACATGTACAATAAAGTGGGGGAAAAGTTATGCAAATAAAAGCAAGGTCATCAAGAAAAACCAAAATCAAACCAAAGCAGAACTAAATCAAAACCTTTCCTTTTGGCACCTTCAGGTAAGATCGAGAAAATCCCAGCATTGAAGCAGGTGCAATAGGTGTCAGTTGCTTGCAAACAAACAGCAGAAACATTGCATTTTCAGGATGTGGCAACTCAGGACATAGAGGACCCTTCTGTGTGAAACAACACAGACATCAAGGGCTATGAATTGAAAAGTTATTCAGAAAAAGAGATTCTGAACGCGAAAAAATCATAGAAATTCCTTTATAAATTTATTTTTCTTTTTGGAGACACGGTCTCGATCTGCAGTTCAGACTGGCTTTGAACTCCTTTTGAAGCCCAGACTGGCCTCAAACTCAACGTGATCCTCCTGCCTCAGCCTCCCAAGTACTAGGATTATGGGTGTTGAGTGCCACCACATCGTTTGTATTTTTCTTCTTGAATGTGCGTAAGAATGTTGTATAACGAATGTATTACTAAAATGCTCATTCAATAAATATTTTAGAATTAGAATCGATTAAAGCAGTACAAATAATTTAATTGGGAATATCTTTTTTTAACAGCCGCTCTCAGTCTTTTTGGTCTGAGGTTTCACTGGTGACTCAGCCAGTCCTGCTGGGACTCAGTCTCTGGGGTACAGAACAGGGTATTATGCAGGCACAAAGAAGGAGATCTTAATGACCATCACCACGGACAGCTGCCAGGGTCTCTTCTGCCACTATCCTTACCTGGACCCATTCACCCTACCCCAAGCACATGGAAGGAGGCCAGGAGTCACCATTAAAGTAAAAAGAGTCTTTGCAAGGCATCTTGGGAATCAGTTGGTTTTTATTTAGAAACTATTCAATAATTTCAGAAGCAAAGCAGTTACCAGCAGGTCTGAGGTCATCCCATCTGAATTTCTAGCCCTGCCATTTACTGGCTAAGGGGGGGGGGCTAATAGAAATCATCTCACAGGATCTCTGCACAGCAGTGCTAAATGAGTGACACATGAAGCTCTTCAAATGGTGCCCGGCACATGTTAGGTGCTATGTAGGTGTGCTCTCTTTCATATTAGATGTCCTGGAGATGTCACACCTGCCATGCCGGATCCTTCCTAGACTGGGGTGACTGAAGTCCAACCCCTGAAGAGGCAGGGCAGGAACACAATGGAAAGTGCTCCTAAGGGCTCCGCAGATGGCCCAGGCGACATCAGCAGGTCGCAGAGCCTGTCGCAGTGCCTGTGTGGAGCTGCCCCCTAAGCAAGGCCCTCCCGGCTTCAGGAGACCAGAGGGCAGCGCGCTGCTCCCCTTGAGAGCACACGCGTCCCGCGTGCTCGAAGCTAGATCGTGTCAAGCCGCCCTGGGGATCAAAGGGGTGTGATTCCTCCAGGGTTTCCTTTTATTATGATTTTTGTCGGGCAGGGTTCCTGCGTGCTCTGCCCTATTTAGAAGCACAAGGAAGCGTGCGTGGGCAGTACCGTCCGGAAGCAGCCGGGCTGGAACTGGCTCCCCGCCTCCCAGAACCCTCCCGACCCCTCGCAGCGACACCGCCCCCCCGCCCCTCCCACGTGGACCCCCGAGTGGGCGTGGCCGGTGCCACGCGGGGGCGGGGCAGGGGAGGGGTCTGCGGGCGGGCAGGTCTTGTCCAGAGGCGGAGCAGAGCGCTGGGAGGCGGCGGGGGAGGCGCCACATCCGGCCTTTGCCCAGAGTTGCATAAAGCCGCGGCCGCGGCAGTTTACCTCCAGCAGCAGCCCTGGGCTCGTCTCGGTTTCGGGAGCAGCTGCTCCCATGCTCCGGAGCGGCCATGGGTGCTCCGCACTGGTGGGACCAGCTTCGGGCGGGCAGCTCGGAGGTGGATTGGTGCGAGGACAACTACACGATCGTGCCTGCCATCGCCGAGTTCTACAACACGGTGCGGGTGGCGGGAGCGGGGTGGCCGGCGGGAGGTGTTGTCCCACGCGCCGCGGCGCCGGGGCTGGGCGTGGGGCACCGCGTGTGGATCCACGCCTCCTCCTCCGCGCGCGGCTCCTAGCTCTCTCCTTCGACGCTCCTGCCCCCTCTGCAAGTCTAGGTTCATCCTCCCGCTCCTGTCATTTCCTTCCGATGGCTCTATTGTCTTGCTTGGTTCTGCTGGTCCCGGAGCCAGAGGTCCGCTTCCGTCCATACTCCGAGTTCGGGTCATTTGGGGGCGGTGGGTCCGCCGGGACAACTCCCTTCTCCCCTAGGGTCTCGGTGGCGTGACGCGCTTGGGTCGCATTGTGCGTTTTTGCCCTGAGTACCTGTTCTGGGGGTCGTGGGAAAGGCGAAGTCCCCAGCGGCAGGACCGGGTAGGGCCCACTCCACCAAACTGGCTTGCCCTACTCCCAAGAGTATGCTAATCATTTTTGATCAGAATCAGGTTAATTTCTACAAGTTCTTTTTTTCTTGGTTTTACTATCCAGTTCTGCTCAACTCAAAGTTCAGCTGCCTCAAGCCTGTGCTTTTCCCCTTCTTAAGTCTGAGAAGCAAAGAGGAGTTTGGGGGACGCGTGTTTTCTGGGGGTCTTTTGAAACGGGCAAGCAGAAATTTCCCCTCTCCAGAATCCTAAATTTTTAGTCTTTGTGGGAGAGGGAATGCCTTTGCTTATCTCTGTGCCCAGAGACCGATGTAAGACTTTGCATGATCATTTCTGTGGTTTATCTTTTTATTTTCCAAACACAGAAAAACAGGAATTCCTGGTTTGAGTCATTGTGAATTTGGGGTTGTTATTTAAGATTTTCCCCCTCGGATTTGCTGCATTTTATTTTATTTTATTTTATTATTAATGATTTTGAGGTAAGGTTTTGTAAAATTGCCACAGTAGGACTCAAACTTGCAATGGCCCTGCCTCAGCTTCCCGGTGTTCTGGGATTACAGTTATGCACCAAGGTGCCTGGTAAAACTAGGCTCTTGAGGAGTGAGCTGGCATGCCCACATTCTAGGGTCACAACCCAAAAGTCTTGGTTCTCCTTTTCAGTGCCAAGATGCATGGCTGCCCTCCACATCATCAGCACCCCTCCTTTTATGACCCACTGTCTGTGAGGCAGAATTTATCTTCCTTCCTAAGTACTTACACCTATGTGGCTATCACAGGACCAGACAGATGCGGACATAGTCATCTGGGTGGTGAGGCCAAGTAGCCGTGCTCTAAACTCTTGAGATGTTCTTGTACTCTGCAAGAGCTTGGTGTACTGTGTGGGTGAAGTGCGGGTGTTTTGCAAGAGTTCTAGTAGGGTGATCAAAGTTGTCTTAGAGTTTTATTTCAGACTTTGCTGATGTTAAAACTGAAAGTGAGCGGGGTATGGTGGATCAGGTCTGGAATTCCAGCCCTTGGTAGACTGAGACTTGGGAGGGTTACTGTGACTTTGAGGCTAGTCTGGGCTACATAGTGAAACTGTCTCCACTCTGACACCCTGCACCCCCACAATACAAAACAACTCCCCCGTCCCACCACCAATCTGAAAGTGCCGTGTTCCTGGAACCCTTGTCAGTCCTACACAAACCCAGTAGTCATCCAGAGATAGGAGTAGAGAGTGGAGAATTAAGGAAAAATACACAATTAAGATTCACAATGTACTCAGCCAGGCTGACAGTCTTTATCTGTTTATGAACATATTGTTGGGAAAGTTTCCAGCCTGTGGTTTTCTCTGGGAAACTGCAGGATGAGATTGCAGTGTGCTCTTGAGATTATTTGGAGCAAATGTTACCTAGGAATCCACAGAATGAGGAACTTTTAAAGGAAATAATTAACACATTTTGAAATTGTGGTTTCCTTTTAATTAAAAAAAAATCTGGCTACAGGCATTAAACAAACATTCTCCAGAGGATAATCCAACAGTAAACTTTAAAAATATCCCTTAGCCGAACTATTCCACAGCTCCAGTGATCCCTACAGCTTTGAAGGGAGTTCATTTCTCAGAAGAGATGGGGCCCATTTGCTTTTCCTTATTTCTTCTGCTATTTCATCCCCTTTTTGTCTTCAGGAGAGTCTCACTTTAATCTGGGCTTTTCTTTTCCATGATTGGTACCTGTGGAAGAGACTGTAGAGGCCAAGAAGACTTGCTTAGTTGGATGGGCTTTGCAGAGAAAAATAATGTCATTTCAGTATTATTTGGGAGCCCGTATCAACAGAGTGCTTCTAATATGTGCATTTAAAATGTTGAAGTATCATAATTTTACTGCAGTTGCAAAAGATGACTTCTTGCCTTTGTGAATAGTATATAAATACTTTTATTTATTTATTTAGGTACAGGGAATCAAGGTCACGACCTCATGCTTGCCAGGCAGGGACTGTGCCTCCAACCTATATCCCTGGCCCAATAAATACTTTTAAAAGTGATTGATGTGGCTGGGTATGGTGGAACATGCCTATAACTCCAGCTAGTTAGAGGCTGAGGCAGGAAGATCACAGGTTTGAAACCAGCCCGGGTAGCATAATGAGGAGAAGGGTGACTGGGAATGTAGCTCAGTGCTAGAGCGCTTGCCTGGCATGCATAGATTTCTGGAGTCAGTATCCACTGCTGCAATTACAGGGGAGAGGATTCCTGTGTTAACTGTTGTGTTGCTGGTGGTAATATAAATCTATAGAACCACCCAGCGGACGGCTGGGCAGGAGATCATTGCACTTAACTGAAACAGGGGAAGATGAAGAGATTTGAGGCAATAAAGATTACTGGGATAAAAGTTGAAATGCAATACATTTTCCAAGTAGAATTGTAAAGTGGGGCTCCCTCACCTAGAAACTGACCTGAGTAAATTGTGCTATTGGCAGCACTGAGAGCAGGTGATCTATATTCACTGAAATGAAAAGGTTACGGAAGCTGCAGAATGGTAATATCACGGTATCTAACATACAAAAGTAACATATTTATGTAAATTCATAGAAAAAGACTTGAAGACTGAGATTAGTGGTTATCTTTGATAAAGAGGGTAGAAAAAAGACTGGCCCTGTAACAATCCTTATTTTTCCTAAGGAGAGGATGTTCATATATGTGAAGAGAAAAAGATAAAGTTACCTTTGGTATGTCAATTTCATTTTTTATTTTCCTTTCCTTCTCCTCCTTCATCGCCTTTTCTTCCCTCTACTACTCTGTTTAGCAAAAGGAAGCCAAGTTTAAACCACAGAATGGGTCACGCGTGTATAGTGTGTAATACACTTCAGTTTTAGGTACCTTCTGAGGAGGTAAGTTGAGTTTGGAATGTGTGTGGGTTAATTGGAATTGAAAATCAGTTTGGTGTTGGAAGGAGTTTGCTGGCAATACAATCAGATGACTGCCTCTCACCTTGGCCAGCCCTGGACCCTTCCCCTTGCAAAACAAAGTGTGACTTGCCTGATTTCTCTCTCTGCCGGGTCTTTTTGTAGTAGTAGGGATTGAATCTAGGGCCTTTGCACTGAGCTGTCTTCCCAGCCCTTTTTCAGATTTTTGAGACAGGGTCTCACTGAGTTGCCCAGGTTGGGCTTGAACTTGTGATCCTCCTGTCTCAGTCTCCTGAGTGCTGGGATTACAGTTATGCACTGCCATGTCTGACTGAATACCCTTCATTTTAACCTTCAAAGACTCTGATGCTTTATATGGCTGCATTACTGAACAGAAATACCTATTTACAGTACGTATACTTTTGTCCTGATTCCTCCTAACCTGCTTTTGGGTGAAGGCAAATTGGCTCTGTTTTTAGGACTGAATGCCACTTGGGACATCTCAAGCTGTTTATGAGTTGACTTACCCATGGTGACCAGGAGGTAGCTCATAGGGGTCCTAAGTGAGAAAGGGAAAGATCTGTATCTCAGGACCAACTTGATGAAGGTCCCTTTTCTGCAGAGTCACGCAGGCCTGCCAGGTATCTATCTCATCCTGGGTTTTAGTCAGAGGCAGCGACTTTGCTCCCATCCTGTCCCAGCAAAGGGTTTTGTTCTCCTTTCTTATTTTATTTCTTGTCACTTCTTTTATTCTTGCTTTCTTTACTTGTTTTATATCTCTCCCATTTGATCTTTTTCTCTTTTTTATTTTTTTTCAAATCCACTTCAAAGAGAATTAAAAAAGAAAAAATCTCCCGAATTTCAAAACACACCGATCTTTCTTTCTTTTTTAGAAATTGTTATTTGCAGAGTGCTGGTGCCTGACTCCAGGATTTGCAGAAGCATTTCGTTTAGTTATATGCTGGTGTGCGTCCTTTGGCTTGGGAAAGCTTCTGCCCTTCCCCACAGCACAGTTCCAGAGCCCACCCTCTCAGTTCCTTTGAGGCTCCTCTAAGTGACCTTTCTGTATTGTCCAGCGTTGGTAACCCATCCTGTCTTCTAAAAGCTGTCATGGCTTTTACTGTCCAGACTTCATCTACTGACCTTCTCCTTTTCTTTGAGTCTTATTTTGTGGACCCCGCTACTCCATCCTCACGGATTCTGCTCATTCTGACTTGGCTGTCATCTTTGCATTCTGCACACTTCTGCACCCACAGACTTGGACAAGGACCTTCTTGTTCCACAAGTAACGATGAGACTTAAAAATCTGCATGTCTGTCCCACTCCATCTTCTAGGATGGCCTTAGTGTTAAAAAACTATAAACACTATACATGTTGGCAAGGCTTAGGAGCCTTCCTTCTACATCGGTGGTAATGTAAAGGTGCACAATTCACTGTGGAAGACAGGTCCCTGGTTTCTCAGTGAGGTGAGTATAGAGTGACCACATGGCCAAGTGCCACAGTCTGCAACGTGTAATGCAGAAATTTGTTTCACGTGGCTCTGAAGGCTGGCCAGTCCCAGCTCAAGGAGCCCCAGATTTGCTTTCTGGTGAGGGTTCTCCGCCTTAGAGATAGATTGCTGTCTCCTGATGTGTCCTCATGTGGTCCAAGCGCCCTCATACCTCTTTTGTTTTTTCTTTTCTCCTATACTTTTTCCCCAAAGAGTGCTAATTCAGCTCATGAGAGCACTGACCTTCCGACTTAAGTTTTAACATATGAATTTGAAGGAGGCACATTCAACAGCTGTTAACAAATAAATGGATACATAAAATGTAATATAGCTGTACAGTGGAATATTATTCAGCTATAAAAGAGAATGAAGTACGAGTTAGTTCTGCAACATGGATGAACCTGAAGAACATCAGGTGAAAGGGCCTAATTGCATAAAGTCATCTACTGTCTGATTCCACTTACACAAACTCTGTAGAATAGGTCAATTTAAGAGAGACAAGGACAGATTAGCAGTTACCAGGAGGTGAGGAAGGAGAGGATGGGGAGTAATTACTTTGTGGGAGTATAATTTCTTTTGGGGTGATGAAAACATTTTGGGATTAGATAGAGGTAATGGTTGCCCATTATGAATATATTAAGTGCCACTAAATTTAAACTTTAAAATATGGTGGATTTTATTGTGTGTGAATTTTTTTGATATGTGAATTTTATCTCAATTTTAAAAATTCAGCAAGAAATAGCTAGCTATTTCTTTAAAAGCCCAAATAATCAATGAAAAACAAAAAAACAAAGAGAGGGTCTAGAGTTCTGCTTTCTAATATAGCTGTTTCTGGCCACAGGTGGCTTTTCGGCACAGGAAATGCAGTTAGCTCAAACTGAGACTTGCTATATACTTGTGAAACTGCAAAGCTGTGCTATGAACAAAAGAATGTAAGAGATCTCATTAGTGATATTTTTATTTATTATTTGTTGGTTTGAGTTGGAGTCTCCCTAAGCTCCCCAGGCTGGCACTGAACTCACAGTCCTCCTGCTTCAACCTTTTACATAGCTACGATTACAGGCATGTGTCGCCGCCATACCTGGCTGATGATATTTTAGTAGTGATTGCACGTTCAAACAATATTTTGAATATATTGCATTCAATAAAATGTATTATTAAAATTTAAAAAACACTTGAATGCCTCCTAGAGACATAACAGAAAGGCATAAAGCTACATAAAGCATCCAATAAAGTGATCTCGCTCTCTCCTTTGTTTTGTTTTTTTGAGACAGGGTCTTGCTGTATAGTTCAGGCTGCTTCTGAACTCACTGTGTAGCCCAGGCTGGCCTCAAATTTGCAGCCTTCTGAGTACTGGGATTACAGGCATGCACCACCAGGCCTGGTGATGATCTTATTTTAAAGCTGGGAGGAAACTTAGAAATTTGATCTTTACCTAAAAAATAAGATTTGATTAGGTGAGAAAGCTGACAAAGTGCTATTAAAGAGAAAAGGCTGGTCTTGCTAGCAGGAGATTGTCAGGAGCTGAAAAACATCTAGTCTCTCATCCCTGCATCAAACTGGTTTTATGTTTGTTTTTGTTTTGCTTTGCCATTGTTTAGTATATGCCTTATTTTTGGAAAATGTAGTTCAAGTAAATCAGAGTATTTTATAATTAATCTGTGTAGAAAACCACTAGTTACTGGTTTTTTGAATCAAGAGAAAAACCTGGGCTACTTTCATAATAGGATACAGTGCTTAACACCTCCCCTCAATCTGGGGAACTTACAATTAAAGAGGCAGCAAGGAGCTCCCTACATGGTCTCTAAAGAAGTTTTAAGTTTTCCTGGTTTTATATTTGCCAGAAAGCGAAAACAAAACCCAGAAGGGCATGAGGTTAAAAGAGGTTAAGCAACATGCATGGCCACATTCATTCTAAGTTGCGAAGGACACCCCCGGAACAAGCTGCTTTATTTTTTGCTCCTTTGCTTAATATTCATCTTTTCGTTTTACATTTTTTTCCCCTCCAGATCAGCAACATCTTGTTTTTCATTTTACCGCCCATCTGCATGTGCTTGTTCCGTCAGTATGCAACATGCTTCAACAGTGGCATCTACTTAATATGGACCCTTTTAGTTGTAGTGGGTAAGTGGCTTTGTGTGGGAACACAGACTGAAAGGAAGGAAGTCCGATGCTGCACATTTCTTAGCCCATTTGAACATAATGTTTTGTAAACCAAAGTTACTCTGACGTCAGCAAACTTTCACTTACTGGAAGTCAAAAGAATTCTTGACCGTGGCTTGATAACAAGGCTGCTTGTTATGTGTCACCACATAACTGCATTTGAGACTTTAATTGTGGCACTGGAGTGTTCTGAGACCACCTGAAGAAAGTAACTTAAAAAAAGAACTTAAAAAATTTAGATGTTTGAGTCCTCATTGCCTTCATTGTTCTGGGAAATAATTGTATAATTTCCATTTCCTTCCCAGGCAGGTTGGAAATTCTTAACAGTGAGATAACGCTGACTTGTATTTACTGCCTGTTCCAATGAAGGCTCAGTTAGATGAAGACAGCATGTGCTGAACCGTGAAACTTATAATTCTGATATGTAGCTATTTGGGCACTGCTTGAAACCTTTCTGCCCTGGAGGTCTGCATGCCCGAGTGGTGTTTCTTACTTCAATTTCTCTCAGAGAGCAAGAGAGTGAGTTGGTGATTCTGATAGCAGCTGGTGAAGGGACATCCTTAATGTGTTAAATTGGTGAATCTATTCTTCTGTGATGACCTTGTTTTATTTGTTGTAATTGATTCTAGGAATTGGATCTGTCTACTTTCATGCAACCCTTAGTTTCCTGGGTCAGATGCTTGATGAACTGGCAATCCTTTGGGTTTTGATGTGTGCTCTAGCCATGTGGTTCCCTCGAAGGTATCTACCAAAGATCTTTCGCAATGACAGGTAAGCTTACGCTAAACACTTCTGTGTTTACCACTGGGTGCAGAACCCAACTTCACAATGTTTACGTCAAGAAAAGCAGCACATGACTAAACTCATCCTATACTCATGAGCTTATTGTATATTTGTGTAGTGTCCACTGACTCTTGTAATCTTATAATACAGTTGAACTGACCTAAAAGAAGAAATTTTAATAAAATTTGGGGAAGAGTTTATATAACAGTAGGGACAAAAAGTCAAAGATGCGGCTTGGTATGAACAAGAGTGGAAGGACTTTCAATGGGAGAGAAATGTCTGGGTCATAGTTCAGAGACCTTTAATTTCCTGTTGAACATTTCTTTGAGTGCAATCCAACTCTACCAGTTTAACATTTAGGAGGTAGAATTCTTCCTAATTATTTGGTTCTCGGAGGTTTAGAGCTAGTTTTCAAATTGCATTTGTTTTTTGCTTCTGATTACTCTCTCTCTCTTTGACACTCATATATGTGTGTGTGTGTGTGTGTGTATGTATGTATATATATATGTATGTATATGTGTACCTCCAAGTACTTTAATATCTATTATGTTAGGGTTATGTGATTATTCATTCAGTAAATATTTTTGAATACTTATTTTGTACTATGCATTTTTCTAAACACTGGAATATAGCAATAAACAAAATTGCAAAGTTTCTTCCTGTTCTGAAATTGTACAGTTTACAAATACAATAAACAAATAAATAATACAGTTTTAGTGTGATAAGCACTGTGTTGAAAAACGAGGTTGGCAAAGATTGATGGGGTGACTGGGGCTGCTGATTCAGTTTGGTTAGAGAAGCCCCTCCTCGGAGTTTTGTGAGGTTTGTTAGTGTCTGAAGGCACAGAGGAAAGTCAGTGTAACAAAAAGGAGAAATAACCCTGGGCTACAGTACCCACTTCTGTAGAGAACACTGTGCTTTGTCAAAACATATATAGCATATGCATAAGTAGTTTAAAATTATGGATTCAATGAAGCAAACTATGTGTGCCAGACAAGAGTTATGCCAGGAAAGTAACAGGATTTGTTAATTTTTTGCTACTTTCAAAAAGAACAGGAGCTGCTGACTGTGAAACACTTAAGGCTGCTCTCTGGGGACTGAGGTGGAGGAGAGTTGGTGAAAAATACTGATTGCAAGTGCAGGTTGTAGAGCTGTGGGCATGATACCCTAATTTTAGAATGAAAGAAAGGAAACTCTTGGAGAATGTTTTTGAATATGCACAAACATGCCTGGCAGGGTGAGGACACCCAACTACAGCTGTTGGCTATTCTTCAGCATTGGTGTGGAAAGAAACTTTATGTACTTTTATTTTTAATCTGAACTGGCCGAGATTTTTTTTTAAGGAATACATGTAAATTTTTAACACTAATATTTTATTTTCAAGCGATTTAGGGAAGAAAGCATACTTTACATAGATGAGCTGTACAGTCTTTGTCCTGGGAAGAAGGATTTGAATTGAGAAGTATTACGTCTCAGTATACTGGGTAGAAATATGCTTCCGAAGGTTACTTAGCAAAAAAACAAGGATGATTGCAAGTTCCAGTTGTTGATGAAGTGTAGTTTCTGTCTTGTTAAGAACCTTTGACTAGCAGAGAAAGCATGCTTTTTACATTTCTTTTGACCCTAAGGACTAAACCTAGGGCTTCATGCATGTTAAGCCTATGTTCTACCAATCTGTTATGCTCCCAGCCTCAGAAAGTATGATAAAATGTGGCCAGAAGGGCATGTCTGTGTATGTGGGCGTGCACAGGTATGTTTGACACAGAGTCTTCTGTGTAGCTCAGGCTGACCTAACACTTGCAATCCTTGTACTTTAGTTGCCAGGTACTAAGATTACAACTGACATATGCCCCTGTGCCTGGCTCTGGTTCTAGACTTGTTTTTTGTTTTTTCTGTTCAACTTCAGGAGAAACTTGGGAGATAACGTAGAGAGCACAAGCAGGGGAGAGGATGATTTTGTAGGCATGGACTTTTTTACTTTTCCTGAAAAACCGTTTGTCTTTCAGCTTTTTCTCCATCTCACAGAGCAGAAAAGCCACCTCTGTCCTTTCCCATATCCTAGTGCTTATTCAGTTAAGGACTGAGGAATCACTTTTCTCTTAGAACTCATCTTTCAAGTCCTGGGCTCAAGTAAGAAATTAGGAAATACGGTTTTTGCTATTTGTTTGTGGCATTCTGGAGTCTTAGGAAATTCCAAGTGATAGCTTCTATTGTGTTGATTATAGAAGGTCTTTCTCTTTTTCTTGTTTCATGGAGGTAGGAGTGGGGCGATGTTGGTATGAATAGAGAGAAGAAAATGACGTTGGTAATGAGACCTTATCAGCTTTAATAATGAAAATATATTGTGAGGCAGAGGTGTCTGTGACCATTTGGGACTCTTCTGTCATCAGCATCCTGCAGCATTTTTGTTGGGGAGTAAGTGAAGAGGGGACTGCTCTGCCCTCGGTGTGGGGGAGAGTCCTGTACCACATATGTGTATCCCTGGCTCTGGAGCCTGTCTGGGTTCAATCCTAACTTTTATTGCTTATAGACTATGTAACTTGTCTATGTTTTCTATTTCCGCATCTGTATATGTAGGTAACAAACAGACAGTACTCACCTCAGTATTCTAAGAGTTAGTCCTGTCAGATACTCATGGCAGCGCTGAGGGACATGGTCATGCTTGGTCATTTAGCGGTCATTGCAACTAGTGGTGCTGAGAGGGACGTTCTGCCTGGAATCTCTGAGACGTGTGTGCATATGGAAGCAGAGGAGAGTCACAGAGAAACTTACTGAGCAAAGAAAGAAATGGCGCTGTGACAGGAACAATTAATGTGGGTTCCAGCTCTGTTGGTCCGTCTTCAGTGTCCCAAAGATGAAGAGGACACGAAGGCCAAAATGCTTTGTGTGGGCTTCACCACCCACACTGGGAGATAGTGGAAGTTCTGCAGTGGGAGTGGGGAGGTCAGACCAAAGAATTTCTGTGGAAACCAGGATTGCTATAGATCAGGGACTATCTGGTTTAGCTGCCTGAACTAACCAAAGAATTAACGTATGTCTCCCTGCCTCCCTTATCTTACTGTATTTGTGAGTGTGTGTGTGTGTGTGTGTGTGAGAGAGAGAGAGAGAGAGAGAGAGAGAGAGAGAGAGAGAGAGATCTAGACATTACTGGAATATTTCTAGCACATCTTAAGAATATGAAGAGTTATTGAAAATAGGGTAGGTGTTTTGGTAAAGTCTTTATTGTAGTAGAAGACACATTGCCATTACTCCCCTTAAAATGCTTCGAACTTCGAACACATTTATCCCATTGTTCTGGCCACTTGCTGATGCAGTTCTGGGAATCCTCTTTTGTGAGTCTGTAGATGTGCTGTCATAACTGGCTCCACATCTTGAGTTCATTCAAAACGCTTACCTTTCTCGGTCATTTTGACTTCAGAGTGAGAAGTCACATGGTGCCAACCTGCTGAGTGCAGTAGATGAAGACAGGCCATAATGTTGTCATGGCACTGGGCAGTAGCATTGTATTTTTCGTCACCTATTAAAGAACTCTGAAACTGCTTTAGAAAGTGATTAGAGGGCCAGCGATATAGCTCTGCAGCACACACACCTACCTGGCAAGGGCAAGGTTGTGAGTTTGATCCCCAGTACTAAAAAAATAAAGTGAAAGAAAGAAATAAAGTGATAAGAAGGATGGGTAGGTTTGTTTGAAATAAGGGAAGTTTTGCTTTTTGAGGTTGCTGTATAGCCCAGGCTAGTTTTGAACTCACTGTGTGGCCTAGGCTGGCTTCAAACTCATGATAGTCTTCTTGTCTAAGCCTCCTAAGTGCTAGGAATACCAGTTGTGTGCCAACTGGCAAGGGGGTATATTTTGAAGGGGATTCATGGCATTGTGTCTTTATTTAAACATTCATTGTATGTGTTGATCAATCTTATAGCTCCAGTGTGAGGGTGCTGAGGAAGAGACGATAGGTTTGCTGGCTAAATGGGTATGGATCAGACAGACATGGTTTTGAATCACAATTCACTTTTTTTCTTCTTAAAGTTCCAAGGCCTCAGATTGCACATCTGTAAAATACAGTTAATAAAGGCAGCTCCCTCATGGGATCTGAAATAAATGGTAAAATGAAGTAAAACATATAATACAGTGTCCTTTACTTTATATACTCAAGACATGTTAGCAGGTTTTTTAAATTTTTTTTTTATTTTAAAGAGGGTAAAATTAAATAGAACAAAACAGATCATAAGAAAACAATTTAAGAAACACAGATTTCAAAGCAAGACCACTGGAGATCTTCACTATCATATTGTCTCTTGTTTTCTTCCAAATAGTTGCCCATATCTTCACACACAGTGAATTCATACAGAACAATATACTATTAAATTGATCAGAACAGAATGATGAAGGCATTTTAGGCCTTCAAGACCAGACAATAGGGAAGTCAACTATGGCTGCCATGTCCCTCGTTCTCTTCCAAATAGCTGTCCATATCTTTACGTATGTTGAAATTAAACAATAGAAAATAGACTAACATCACTCTGAACAGAGAATAACAGTATTGCTAGATTTTACATTGTGATGCTATGGAATTAGCATTGGGTATCTTAGTGTCTCATTTTCTTCAGAGTATCTGTTGATTACATCGTACATTATAGAATCTATTCTCGTAAACTGTTTAGAAGTTCTACACACGTGTGAGTCTCTACATGTATACCTATCCTTTTGCATTAGAGGGAAAAACAAATCAAAACAAGACAACAACACAAATTCCTAGAAAAACATGAAATGAAAAAGACATAAAATCACAATACTAGGTGATCTACAGTAGTTGCTATGCTGTCTCTTGTTATTTTCAATAGAATTGTCTATATCATCAGGCATAATATAATTGAACATAGCACTACATATCAACATTAATAAAAATACAACATTGGAGATATTGTAGGACTTCAAAAGCAGTTAAAATAATCAAATCGGAGTGGGTATCCTATTGCATCTTGTCATCTTTAGAGTAGTGGCCTCTACTCTTAGACTTAATACTATCAAGCATACCAAATTTGAATAAAATCAGTCAAGACAAAACAGTAGTCTAACAAAACAGATTCAAATAAGATCAGTCATAGTAAGACAATGTAAGTAATACAGGGCTTCAGGTTAAGTTAATAGGAAATTAAGAATATTTACCATAGTATAGCCTGCTATTTTTGGGATAGCTGTCTATGCCCTCAAATCTAGTACGAGTAGACAGACTGGAACAGAATAAAATCAAACTAAACAGAGTGATAAGACTAATGTGGCTTTTAAATCCTGATACACTATTAACAATGTCCTCTGCCTTCTTTTTTTTAGACAATATGTTAGCATTTATTATGAAAGGCTAATCTGGACAGGTAGTTGGAAAATAAGGTTTTCTAGGACAGTAGGGAAATTGTTAATGTCCACTATGTCAATAGGATGTAGTTGGCGGGTGAAGAAAAGGACTTTCATCTTCGAATTACCCAGGAATCTTCAGAAGATATATTCAGCTATTAATGGTTATTAATAATTTTTTGATATTTTTTTCTGAGAAAACAATAAGAACAGAGAACTGTTGTAGGCTCATCATACCTACTTTCTAAATAACTTATCCCAAAGCATGTCTTTTATGATTTGCTGGTGCAGAATCTAAGGGGAAATCTCACATTTTAACCTCTTCCTTCTTTTAAAATCCTCAATAGCAAAGGAGCAGGCCGGAACCTGACCAGCCTTCTTCTCCACTTGCTGGATGACCCAGGGCTGGTCTTAAACCCTCTGAGCCTCAGGACAGGGCTGGACCAGCCTCTCAGGTTCCTTCTGGGACCGAATGCTGTAGCCCTGTGAATCTCCAGTTCTCCCCATTACGAATAGGTTATGTTTTGGTCCTAATGGGTGAAGGAGTAGGCCCTGACCAGGGATGTTTCCATCTCTTAAGGAACATTTAGGAAGTTTGTGGACATGTTTTTAGTGGTCACATGATGATAGGTTTTATCGTCCAAAAATTCCAGTTCATTTTAGAAGGGTAAAAGGTGCATTAATAGGTATTTGTCCAATAAAGCATCAGATGTTTATATAATAAAGCATGTAAGAGGGTTGGGAACCACTACCCTAAAGGGTCTCTAATGATGTAACAGTAACAGCATTATTATATTATAGTGCCGAGTTGCTACATTTTGGTTTGGAGAATGAAAGCAGAGGGGCACTAAGGCACTGACCCTGTGTTCCATCACCAAATGGGCTGAAAAGTAGGAAATAGAGCAGAGAGTGGTGGGGCTGGCTGTCATCACAGTTTAGGAAGCACTCTTAGGGCCTCTGACTTGTGCCTCTGGTGACTCAGGTCTTCTTCGTGGCTGGCTCTCTGCTGGCTGTGTGACTTCTGTTTACTTCTGCTGGTTGCAGATAGGATGTCCTTGTGGGCCAGCACATTCCTGTGGCCTGAGGGTGGCTGTGTGTGTGTGCATGGGCTCCCTGGAGAACGCATGTGTTTCATCAAGCCTGGGCCTTTAAAGTATTTGGCAGTACTATACAGAGCCTTTAGGGCCTGAAGCACCAGCTCAGTCTGAGTCTCCCCAAAACTGGTATTATTAACAGTAGTAGTATTACTTAAGATGAAACCCATTCTCAAATGATCATTAGGAGGATGACAGTATAGATGTCATTTGCATGCAACATGTACCGGACACTGTGTTAAATGCTGTAATGCTCATAAGAATACTGTGATTGCTAGTGCTTTAATTTTTATGTGGAAAAGCCTTGAAGAGTTAAATTGTCAGGTTGCACAATGGCTGAGTGCTAAGGGCAGGAACTGAACACATGTCTGTCTCACTGAAATGCTTATACTTTTAATCAGTTTATTGGCCTCTCTAACCTGAATTCTAAGCCACTGGGTATGGGGAGGTGATAAACTTTGGGCATTTCTGATGATGTGTTTATCTAATAATAAAAAAGAACAAGACAAAATATTTAAAAAGTTAAAAAAGTTAGAATGAAGCTCAAGGATATAGAAAGGTGGACAGGGACACAGGTGACATAGTAAAAGGTAAATAAATACATGTAATCAGGATCTGAGGAGAGGAAGGAGGGAGCCAACCCAGAGAAACAAAAATTTCAGGTAGCTTCCATGTTTAAGAGCCCAGGGAAAGCGTGATTGTGGGCCTGCCACTCGTGCAGATGGCTGCGGGCCGTCGTCCTCTGGCCAGAGCAGGCAGCCTTGCATCCGGTCACTGAAAAAAGCTTTGGCGTCAGGAGAAAAACATGATTCTCTGGAGGATTCGCTGCCTGGACCCTTTCCGTTTATATTTTTTCCTCTGCTAGAGTTCAGGACTACAATGAGTGTTCATTCAATCAGAGAGTTGGCAGCTTGATCAATGATTTCCTGTGCCTTGATGATAAATGGTTTTCCTATTTAAGAGATAAATTTGTGTTTTGCAAGTTCAATGCCCTTTGATTTCTCTGTAATAGAATTTCATTCAAATTAGTTTCCTGACTGTGACCTGTTCCAGGGCATTTAGCCAAAGCAAATTCTGCTAATGAGGAATAACAGAAACTTCAGGAAAATTGTGTGCTCCTCACTTTAAGTCCTAGATGAAGATGGAAAGATCCTCCAGTCCAGCCTCTTTGTTGTATAGATCAGAAAAGTGGGAGCACGACCAGGATCACGTCGCCACTTCTGGCTCTTGTCACAGAAGTGACCTCCACTAAAGGATGTGAGGACAGTGTTGATGTTTTTTTTTCAAAATTTGTCACGGGAAGACTTGTGGAGACAAAGTCTAGTGCATACTAGACTGGTAGGTTGTTAGTTGCTGTAGATACTATCAGAATGTTGTAAAAACAAAACTTAAGTTTTGTGTGCTATGCATATTAGGACTTTTTTTGTCTTTTAAATGAGGAGATTTTTGGTTTATTAATGTCTCTCCTGCTCTTATAAAAGCCATGTTCACCTGCTGGAACAAGGGTTGCATCCTGTGAGCCAAATGCATCTTGTTTATGCAAATCAGCTTTACTGACACACAGAGTTTAAGGACCTGCAAAACCTAAACCATGCTGATCCTTTATAGAAAATGTTTATCAACCCTGCTATGGAACATTGAAAAAGTACAGAAAATTAACACCCAGAGAATAGTTACCTATGTCATCATCAGAAACTTAGGTAGATTGTATTTTTACCATTCTTCTGGGTAAATACCTTGAAAATCTCTGATTAGTTCCTGAGAATGAATTCCTAGAAATGGAATTACTGAGCCAGTCAGTGTGACTGACTGTTAGACCTTTGGTACTCAGTGCAGAATTTCCTGGTGGCTTGCACAAATAGCAGTGCTTGTACCTCCCTAGCATTAAGCAAATAAACAAGAATTCCTTTGCTAATGAATTTGGTTTTGCTTCTGTGGATTCAGGGGCAGGTTCAAGGCAGTGGTCTGCATCCTGTCTGCAGTTACAACCTGCCTGGCATTTGTCAAGCCAGCCATCAATAACATCTCTCTGATGACACTGGGTGTTCCCTGCACCGCGCTGCTCATCGCAGAGCTGAAGAGGTAGGTGCCGGCATTCCTGTTGGTCCCTTGGGGTGAACCAAGCTCTGCATTCTTTTGCTGGCCTCCAGCCTAGAAGACGACTTTTATTCTTTCTGACTGTTAGATTGAAACAGGTTTGATGGCTTGGTTCAAAAGGCTAATGATCTCGTTTTCAGATGTGGAGCATCATAATAATCCAAAGCATGCTTATCAGGGAGATCTCAGTGCAGAATGAGGTGCTAGACTTAATTCTGTAGAAGGGAAAATAGATTTGTACATATGACAAAAATAAGGAAAAAGGGGAAGTCATTGCATTCATACACAGAAGGACAGAAAGGATGGAGACAGGGAAAGTACATTTCTGTATACTAGGAAGCACTAACCTGCAAACAGACACCCATTGAAGGTGAAGCGTTTTCTGAGGCTTAGTATCTCGAAAGCTTTGGTAAAACTAAGTGTCTTACTTGAAGACTTGAATCTGTTCCCCTGTGCGTGATAATTGCTGTGTGTAATGTGTTGAGCCAGGCTTCTCTCCTAGTTTGGAGGGAAGATAGACATTTCTTCCCGAGTGCTTTGCTTCTGGAGCTTCTTTTGATTATCAGCAATAGCAGTCAGGGCCAGAGGTGACCAAAGAGATATTTGAACTTGCTGCTGGCAGTGATCACTGTCAGGACTCCTCCAGTTAGGTAGCTTCTTTGAGTAACCTTCAAGAACTGGGGATGTAAGCATTTCATTTGGGAAACAGGCTGAGGTTGGTGCTAGAAGAATAACGATGTCAGGGAACGCTTTTGAATAAGAGAACAGTACGAGAAAAATATTTGACCAAAACAATAAACAAAGCCAACTCCCTGGAACCTGCCTGGCTGATTGTATCTGCTGTCCATCTCTGAGAACAATAGATCTAACCTAAACTGCACATTTCAGGCATGAGGATATTTAGCTTTCTGGAGGAAGCCCTTTTTCTACTTCTGGAATCTGTGATTGTGAAGAGATACAGAGAGGGAGAATTTGTGGTCTTTAATAAATAACTGGTCATCTTATCACCCAACAAACTTGTTCTTAAGCTTAATGTCTAAAGTCATATACTTCCATCTGGCATGTTTTTCTCAGAAAGTTTTCAGTAAAGCTCTGGTCAAATCATTGCTTTCTTAACAAGATCTCTCTTTCATTTTTCTAAAACTCTGCCATAACCAAAGGCTAAGGCGGATCCTTTTTGCCGCTGTAGCTGCAGGTTTGCTTAGAGCTAAGCATGATGGTCATTATCAGCCATGTGACATCTGTTTTCTGTTCTTTTATGGCTAGGTATCTTAAGAAAGTTTTCTGTACCCATCAACCTTCTTTCTTAGCCAGGCATTCTAGAATCAATCTCTCTCTCTCTCTCTCTCTCTCTCTCTCTCTCTCTCTCTCTCTCTCTCTGTGTGTGTCTTTTTGAGACAGGATCTCACTAATCTGTTACGGCTTGCCTTGAGCTCACTTTGTAGCCCAGGCTGGTCTTGAACTTGCCACAATCCTCCTGCCTCAACCTCCCAAGTGCTGGGATTACAGGCATATGCCACTATGTCTGTCATTTACTGTTCTTTTTGATACTGGGAATCAAACTGAGGACATTGTGCTTGCCAGACAGGCTTTTGTGCTGCTGAGCTATATCCCCGGCCCTAGAATCTCTTGCAATCCGGCTTTCCTCCCCATCTTTACTCTGAAATGTTCTCTCAGTGGTTACCAATGGCCCTTACAGAAACAAATCTAATTTTTGTCAAATGATTCATATTTTATTAGAGAAAAATTGGGGAAAATAGACAAACAATTTGGTATTATTCAGCTAAGTGGTGTTGGCTTGTATTGGGCCTGCAGTGAATAGACTGTTCTGGATTTAGTTGTGTTTCTTAATTCACTATAATGTAGTTTCATTTTAGTTCTCGAGTCTAATTATATGTTTTAGCTTATAATTTTGTTAAAAAATAGCTTAAGGGAAAATGTTTGAAGTTCACCTAACTGAACAAATGGGAGAGGCAAGTAGTTAAGGTTGCTTATTACACAGTCTAAATTACAGCTCACAATTGTTATTTTTCAATCAGGAAACATTTTTCTTTAATACTCAAATCTTTGTAAATAATTATAAGGGAAGTCATTTCTTATTTTTTATTTTTTTAACCAGGGATCGAACTCATGATCTTGTACTTGGCAGGCAGGTGCTTGTGCCGCTGAGCTAAATCCCTGGCCCATAAGGGAAGTCATTTCTGTTCCCTGCTTAAAATCTTCTGCTGGGGAGAAGATGACTATCATAGTGGCTGGTTGACTGTCCCCACATGAACATATTGCCCAACAAAGACTAGTCTTTCTCCACCTTCATTGTTATGCCTCTATGTCTCTGTCACATCTGCAAATTGTCAGTTGTGTTACCCATCCTTCGTGAAAGGAGACTTTTCGTGCAAACACATTGGGCGTCTCTCCCATCCAGGACCCACATGGACTCAGCCCACATCTGTCTCCAATAGCGTCCTTTATCCCCCTGGTCCATCACAGCCAGGTGTCTTTAAAAGCCATCACCACTTCTCATTTCTGTTACTCTTTCGTCTACTCCATAGTGGCTTTGGCCTCTACTTAAAAACACAGACTCCTCTGGGTGTGCTGCATGTCCAGGCTTCAGGCCTCCTGTAACTAAGAGCTGTCCTCAGTTAGCCCTCCTCCCCCGTCCATGCAGTGTTCCCTCTCCAGGCTCCTGTGGCAGCGCCCCTCCTGGTTTCCTGCCAACTCTGCAGTTTCTCACGCAGATTCCTTTTCCACACAGCTCTGCGTTCAGGGGTGGGGAAGGTTTAGCCTCAGCTCTCTGCTTGCTATGGGCTGAATGTTTGTGTTCTAGCAACTGATGTCAAAATCTGACCACCAGACTGATCTGGGGGAAGTGATTAAATCATAAAGTCAGAGCCCTCATTAATAGATTTAGTGCCCTGATTAAAAAAAAAAAAAGGCCCCAGAGAGCTGTGAAGCATGTGAAGACACAGTGGAGGCCGTGGTATCATCAGATGTTGGGGTGCTGATATCTCAGTCTTGTACTTCCCGGCCTCCCGGAAGTGAGAATGAACAGTTGTTTGTAAACCATCTGGTCTACGGTGTTTCGCTGAAGTGGCCTGAAGAGACTCAGGTGTGCTTTCCTCCTTCTACCTTGGTCTTGAAAGACCTCATCTACTGCCGGGGCTTTTCCTACTGTCTCTATGCAGGACTCTCCCAGATTTCTGCATCCAAGCCAGTGCTGCCTTCTCACTCTGCCATTGTCTGCCTGAGCTGTCTGTCTGATTCCACATTATCATAGCTGTCAGCTTTTCCCAAGCCAGGTTCCTGCTCTCCTTTCCCACTTCTGATTCCTTCCTAGAATTTCTGGCTGCAGTTGAAGGGAGCATCATCTACATCCCTGCTGAAGCCAAAACTGGCTGCTCCTTCCTCTCCTGAGCATCCCATTTGATCAGTCATTTTTCTATCAGCTGACATTACAATTTAGGTAAAATTCAGAAGCCTGTCACATGCATCTGCCCCTTACAAACCCATCTCCTTCACATAATGTGCCTGTCTGTCTGTCTGTCCTCAGCCGTCTGACTTCCGCATCCTCAAGAGAGCCCAGATTTTGTGGCCCAGGCTCTTGCTTCCCTCTTCCTGACTCTTCTGCTTGGCTAAGTGCTGCTCACCCTTCAGCTGTGGGCTCCTGTGCAGATGCTCTCTAAACTGCTGACCTGGACCTGCTCTGTGATCCTCCCTGATCCTAATTAGAAAATAATTTGTGTTACTGCTCCACTGGACAGCGGCTGTGCTTGGCAGGGGGCGAGGCGGGCTCTCTGTTCACTGCGGTGTCCCAGCCACCTCTGAAGGTCCCAGCAAGGAAAAAGAAAAGATGGTTGTTTTCCTGTTTCATAAACTCCCCAGACAAGAGGGAGTTTATTTTCTGCCAGCATTTTCCGTTTGCCCTTAATGTGACCTGTAGCATCTAAGCTAGATGTTCTCGGCACACCTCCCTTTGCTGGAGAACGCAGAGGAAGGACTGGTCGGTAGCTTTCTGTTCTCTCTAGCCTGCGTTCCTAAAGCTAGGCCTCGTCTTTTTATATTTTTATCATCCTTTCCAAACCTAAGAGAGCACACATTTATTCTGATTTTGGGCCATGACCTGACATTTACTAAAATTCATGGTAAGTCATTACCAAGACATTCTACTGCATTTAAAATATTTTAAAATACACTTTTTTTTCTGATGGTAAGAGTAATTTTACTAAGAAAAAAACCCTTCAAAAATATAATAAAGGGATAAAGAGAGAAGTAGACTTTTCTGTCCTATAGTAGGGTCCTGTTGTATGTATGATTTTTGCCCTGCTTTAAAACAATTGATATTTTAATAAAAACCCTAAAAATGATACTAAAGCCTAATGTAGGAGCAAGAGTGGGACAAAGGGGTGGAGGAAATGATGCTGGCGAGATAGGAAAAATGGAACTCCTAGCCTGCTGAGTCTGAGGTCTCACAACATGGAGGAATGAAGTTTGAAGCAAAGGAGGAAGCTAGGGGAGTTTTATTGGAAGTAGGGGTAAGAGTGGCCCCTGAATTTCCAGGGTGGGAAGGGGGGTATCCTGAGAAGGTACCTGGGAGGCCCTTTGTCAGAGTAATGTACACAGCGAGGTCACAGCATTGGAACAATTCAGGTCAAACTGTAATCAACCTCTGGGATTACAGCATAGCTGCTTAGCTAATACTGATGCAGTGAGTCATGCGGCAGGGTAGGAACAAAGGCATTTTGGAGAAGGGATGGGTCCAGATGCTTTGGTCACCCACTAAGGTGTCTAATCCCTAGCTGGGCTCACTGGGCCAGGCGGTGCTGATAACAGTGTAACCCTAAGTACTGGTTTATCCCTTAGGGAGGCATCTGACCTGACCACTGTCTCCAGCCACAACTCTGGTACCTTTTTCCTGCTAACTTCCTTGCGGTCCCAGGTCCTGTTTGTCTGACTTGGCTGCTATAATATGTCAGGGAGCCAAGTGGAGTGGAAGATGACAGATTTGGGATGTATTTTGACTTAGGGAAGAGGGACTAGAAGTGTATGAGAAAGGGAAAAACCTGAAGAAGAAGGTTTGGGGCGGGGACGTGATGAGGAATTCATTTAGGACACATGAGATCTGGGTCTGTCTTGGATGCCAGAGGACATGTGCAAGCGGGGACTTGGGTCTCTGAGTAGGAGAGTGGTGAGGCCAAGGGTGGGCAGGGTTCCGGAGCCGCCTGCGCATTTAGGAATTTACCTGTGCGAGGCTGGGGAGTGGGCGTGACTGTCTGAGTGGTGGTCAGGAGCTCCAGTGCCAGCGGCCCAGGCAGATGGGAGGAGCCAGAGGGGGAGAAGGCGGAACCCAGCGCTGACCCCAGCTGCTCTCTGCCTCCCATATAGGTGTGACAATGTGCGCGTGTTTAAGCTGGGCCTCTTCTCTGGCCTCTGGTGGACCCTGGCCCTCTTCTGCTGGATCAGTGACCGGGCCTTCTGTGAGCTCTTGTCGTCCTTCCACTTCCCGTACCTGCACTGTGTGTGGTAAGCCTGTGCCCTGCCGGAGAGGGACAGTTGCGTTGAGATGGGGGCTGCCCTTGCTTGTGGGCTCAGGCTTGCTGCGTGTACACTGGTGGCCTCAGGACAGCCCGGTGCAGAGCCAAGGTGCTTTTTCCTCCCCGTGATGACACATTTCAGAAGTAGCAAAAGCTTTGTAAAAGTAAAATTGGCTCCTGGAAGCAGGCTTAGCCAGAACCAAAAGGCCGGATTGTTACACCTCAGGTCCACAGTCTCTTATCTCTGGCTCCATTACTGAAGCACAAAGAAGCTTGAAAGCTGAATCTGCAACCTGAGTGCTGGCTTGGGGTGGGGACGGGTGGAGTTTGGGACCGAGGTGGTGTAAGGGCTGGGAACTCCTCAGGAGGAACCAGGCCTCAGCGTTTCAGTGACCCAGGTCACTGAGGGACAATCTCAGCCATTCTTATTATAGTTAGAGACAGAAAACCAGATAACTCAATAATTGATCAATATCATCCACCCGTGTACACAGAGCCAACTTCGAAGTTCAGTGAGAGCTCCTTGGAGCACTTTTGGGAATGCTCAGGATCTATTAAGTTAAAAAAAAATCAGGTTACAAAACCTCATGCAGAATCCTAGCTCAAGCTGGGAAGGAAGGGTGACTATCTGCCTAAAAACTGCTTCAGCTCCACATCCAGGGGGATCATCCTCTCCCTGCTGATTGCAAAAGACAGCAGGAGTAAGAGGAATCGGAGGTCCTGTGGGTCTGCTACCTTGAGAGTATGCAGGGAAGACTTCCAGTGCTGAGGGTTTGGAGGCTTGATGGGAAGGTGGCCTGAAGAGATACCCAGTTTGCAAGGTTAGACTTACACTTCCTTGCACATGTGAACTTGAATTTGCATTTATTTATCATGCGACTCAGGCTATGCAAATACAAATCTCAGGGACTTCCAGTACTGCCTTCAAAAGACAAAACACTACAAGTTGGGGTTTTCAGTCTTAAGATTCACTGTCTGAAATTTCTTAGGTTTAACTTCAGTTCACACGAGTGAATTTATACACTTCGTATATTTGTTGAATTAGAATTTACAGATAATAAAATGCATGGATTTTTAAGTACATACTTTGAGTTTGATAAATGTAGGCACCTCTATAAATATGACTATTCAAGTTGTATTTTGTTTATCAAAGTCCTGTTGTTACAGTAGTGATTTAAGTAAAATTCAAAATTTAAATTATGTGATATAACTTTTGCTCAGTTTGTTCATGAATCTGGTGTGCTTTTTATTTTGTTTTTCACAGGTGATGTATTCCTGCCATTTCCTTTTAATTAATTAGTTTATTTTTTAGGTTTCTCACATGAGAGAAAATATAACGATATGTAACTTTCTGAATCTGGCTTATTTTCTCTAGTTCTAGTTCTAGTTATCTCTAGTTCTACCCTATCTCTAGTTCATTATCTCTAGTTCTACCCTTTCTCCTGAAAAATGTTATCATTTCATTCTTTTTATACCACAAAAATATTCATATTCAGTATTCATAGAGAAAATACTAGATTCATGGGAATTCATCCGAACCACATTTCCTGTATCCATTTGTCTATTGACTGACTGCTAGGCTGTTTCTGAATTGTGCCATTGTTACCATAGACAGCAAGTTGGTGGGCAGTCACACAGGGATGAGCCCTCTGAAGGCGGGGCCTGCGTGCCTCCCTAAGGGACAAACAGCAACTTGAGATTGTACTGTAATTAGCACCAGCTGGTCCAGGAAGTCTAAACGCCCAGGAGGGACCCTTCCAAAAAATGTTTTTGTTCTCTCTGTGTTAGTTGTGACAGATAAGCTAAAGTTTATGAAGCTCACCATGTATCCTTCTACTGCTACTGTTTCCCTATTGGGTCAGTATTAACTAAGCAACTACACTTGTGATCTTACTGGCAGATTGTAATTTGACTCCTGTTGTACCCACCTTGTAGTTTTGCTCTATAAAACATTATTGGAGAGACAGCCTCAGTGCCAACCCTTTTAGGGACCCCTTCTGTCTTTCACAGGACAATTCTCAAAATAAACCTTTCCCGCTTTAAACCTCCATTGTCCCTTGGAATTCATTTCTCAATATTCAGGGGCCACGAGCTTGGCACACCTGATATAGACATGGGTATACATATAAGTGATGTGTGATTTAAATAATATAAAAATGTAGAAAGTGGCTCTCATAATTTAATTAATTTCCCCTAAAGAAAGATAATTGTTAGTAGTCTGAAGTCTATTTGTTCAGATTTTATAATGTGTGTATATATACGTATATCTCTTTTTAAATATATTTTTATTTTTGACATATAATTGCACATATTTATGGTGTATAGTGTGATATGTCAATATATATATGTGTAAAATGTATAATGATCAGATCTGGATTACTGGCATATCCATTATGCCAGACTTTATATCTTTGTGTTGAGAATATTCAAAATCTTCTTTAGAAGCTATTTTGAGATACTCAGTTAATTTTCAAATATAGTTATCCTCTTGAACTTTTTTCTTCTATTCAATTGCTCCTTTATAGTCTTGAAACTTTCTGCTTTTTAAAAATAAAAATAACATTACTCTATACATGATGCAAACTGATCTTTCTTTGTTTAACCAAATACTAGCTCATAGGCACCATTCTGTACCAATGTATATATGTTTATTTTTTGTATTTGATACTTCATGATATGAATGCTTTATAATTCATTTAACCAATCTGTTAGTGGCTATTTAGGTAATCTCTAATTTTTCACTTTTGCAGACAATTTATAATAAACATCTATATTAGTTCTAATTCCTGAATATTCCTATAGACTGAATTGTAATTTAAATTGCAAAATCTGAAGAGATGGTACCAATTAGCACTTTTTACTAAAGTCTGTTAAAACAATGCCTTTTACCCACATGTTTACATATATAGGATATTAGCTCTTTCCAATCTTTTGTTAACTTGATTATATTTTGCTTTTATTGTCAGTCTTTAAAAAATTAGTATTGTTGATCATTTTCAAATGTAAATTTGCTATGTGTATTTTTTTTGCAGTGCACCCTTTACTTTTTAAATCTTTTCTATTGAGTATTTTAAAAAATTTATATCCAGGCACTGACTGCCTTTGTTGGTAGTCAGTACTGCCTACAGAACTGCGTGCCCTTTATTATGCAAATCGGTATTTTTCAAAAGCACAAAGACTGAGCCTCTGTGTAGTCAGCAGTTTCCATAATCACCAACATGGGGTGGCATCTTTCTCCCTGGTTGTCACCCTGCCTGAGTATTTTATAGCACTTTCCAGACATCTTATGAAAAGAACAGGGTTTGTTTCTTCTCTGTAATGCAGGGATTTTTAAAAGTTTTATTTTATGTTTTTTGCAGTACTGAGGGTTGAACCCAGAGGCATTTACTGCTGACCTACACCCAGTCCTGCCCGCTCTGTCTCCTCGGCCTCTGGTTTTTATGTCTTTGAGACAAGGTCTTGCTAAGTGACCTAGGGTGGGCTCAAACTTACAATCCTCCTTAATCAGTATTAAACTTATTCTTGGTGAAAGATGTGAGGTATTCACCAGAATTTTTTTGTTAAAGCGACAGTCTAATCTGAGGTATTCCGCTGTTCCCATCTTGCCACCAGTGTTTTAAATCCTTGGACCCCAGTCGTCTTAGTGGAGGCCCAGGGGCACTGGCTGTTTGAGCTAATCATTAAGTGGAAAGTCTAGAACATCCTAAGATGGGACTTCATTGTTCTCCCCTGTCCAGGGGTTGCCATCACCTGCGTCCTTCCTGATCATGAGAGGCCCCTAGCCTAGAGTGGGAGCAGGAGAGTTCCCCTGGCCAGGGCGGGACCTGGACAGTGCCGGCCCCTTCTCACTTCCGTTTTCTTTGCAGGCATATCCTCATCTGCCTGGCTGCCTACCTGGGCTGTGTGTGCTTCGCCTACTTTGATGCTGCCTCCGAGATCCCTGAGCAAGGCCCTGTCATCAAGTTCTGGCCCAGCGAGAAATGGGCCTTCATCGGTGTCCCCTATGTGTCCCTCCTGTGTGCCAACAAGAAGTCACCAGTCAAGATCACATGACGGCAGGGCAGTGCCTGGCTCCTTTGCATATTTTCCTTCCTGCCCTGGGCTTCTTTTGCTAGCAAGACAGCCAAAGGGTTCTAGGAATCGGTGTGGGGTGTGTCTTTTCAGAGTTCTGTTCCTTCAGGCTGTAACTAGTGGATCACCTGGATCTCACTGTGCTGGGGCAGGAACGAGGGTCTCTCCTTCCCCATATAGATAGCAGAGGACTTTGGGACACTGGATGTGTCTTTCTCATGGTCACTTCCAGATGCGTTGGTTATTGGGCTACATCCTTTGTGTCCTTTGGGGGACACAGGCTGCCCATGCCTCTTCTGGAGAGGCAGTTGCTCCAGACTCCACCTCCCGAGCACTGCTGGAGCCCGCTCTGGACAGACCCTCCAGCTCTCTGGTTAGAGGTGCCAGAGATTTTCACAGGGAAAACTGTCCTTTAAACCCAACCAAGGGTGCAGGGTGTGCTAAGGCCTTGGTTTTTTTTCACATGCATCTCTCAGCTAATCCAGGCTTTATGTACATGTGTGAATCTTTTTACCACTACCTCAGTTGAGAGATAGAGATTTAATTTCAGAGAGGGTGAGGCCGGTGAGTACCACCCTCTGTGCCAAAAACCACTCCACTTTAAGCTATTCCTAAAGATGAGCACAACTTTTAAATGCTAACATCATTTCCCCAGTTCAGTAACCTCAGATACACAAAGAACAGCCATGGTGTGAAGATAGCCCACTCTTACCGCTGGATACCATATCACTGAATCCTTACGATTTTGCTGGTGGCTTTGGCTTAAACATTGGAGCAAACACAGAAGCCCCTCTGCCCCCACCCTATGTTTGAAGCCTCCAATATACTACACTGTTCAGGAAAGTATCTTCAAGAACTTACCTTGCTGGGCACAGTGGTTTATGCCTGTAATCCCAGGTATTTGGGAGGCTGAGTTGTTAAGCACCACAAACTCAAGGCAGAGCTGGGGATGTAGCTCAGTGGTAGAGTGGATCTGGTTTCTATCCCTAGTACTTAAAAAAAAAGGGGAGGGGGTTTCTCTTATTTCCTGGCCACTTCCATGGGAATGACCCACTTGGCACTTCCAGGGCCAGGTGCTTCCTGTGGTTCTCAGCACTGACTGCCAGCCTTGCTCAGATGCTGGCCGTGAATGCACTGACCCGCCGGTGGAGGGCGCTGGTGCAGCTGGGCAGATCTTGCCTTCTGTGTTTTTCTCTCCTGTGATACTGGCTGCAGTGAATCTTCACTGAACTGTACAGAAGACTCCAAGGCTGTTTTCAGGGTATGAGGAGGGAATCATCGACCTCAGGGATATTCACTTTAACTCAGGCATCTCCTGTCTTTGAACATTCCGTTGTGAAGCTGAAGCAGGACAGATGTCCTTCTGTCCTCTTTGGGTGGGTGGCAGTCGTGTCATTGTCCTCAGCACCTAAGAGCTGGGAAGTAGCTGCCACCTGCCCAAGACTCTTAGTCCGGTTAGAATTTGCACAAGATCCAAAGTGAAATGGCCAATCAGTAGCTGAATTTAGAGTTTAAAAATGACTTACGCAACTTTGGTGATTTTCAGATTTTCTAAGTAACTCACTGGGCTATATCCTGTTTCTTCTTGTAGCAAGAAATGTTTATGGAACAGTAATGTGTGAAAATAATTTTATGAATTTAAATTTATAGCATCTCTTAGTATGTCAGTAAAAATGCAAATTAACCAGTCAGTGATCTCCCAGATAGAAAACTAAGCTATTGAATGCATGTACATGTTGCTTTGTTGTAGCTTGAAAATATACTTTAAAATGACTTTGTGATATATGTGGAATTTATAATGTACCTTGCTGAGATACAGTGCTTCATGGAATAGGATCGCGGTGAAGTCCTTTGGGTTCAGCTGTAGAATTTTAAAAAGGGAAATACCAAACCATGTTCACTTAAGATTGACTTCAGGAGGCATGAATTCTAGTCTTACTCTTCTGAAGTATAAAAATGAGCTAAGGTAGTGGATTTGGTGTATTTTAAGGCCAGCTGTCTTAGCAGGGAAACATGGATAAGTAAAGCAGGAAGTAGGGAAATGACTTTTTGGTATGTGAAGTCTAATTTGTCCAGGGGCTCCTCAGTGACAGCAGTGCTGTCCTTACAGTCCTGGAGGATCCATTCCTCTTGATCAGGAAAAGGACTTATTCCCGGGGGCTCCGCTGACACCCCACTCCAGCCCTGGACATTGGGATGAAATGTTGCCAGGGGCCCATTTGAATCAGGCTGAGTCATCGGGATATTTTTATCCCTCTTCTACAAGAAAAATGTTGAAGTTAAGATGGCAGACAAATGGTTTTATATGGAAAGCACTGTCCTTCTGGAGATTCGTTTCAGAGGGATAGAAGCGGGGGAAAAAAGTGGAATGGAATATATTTGAGGAGGACAAAATATAACTCTACTTTTGGACAGAACTCATAGCTGTCAAGCATGAGATGGTAAATCAAGAGAGTGGAAATACACTAATGTTAAACTTAGAGTTTCGTTCATATTTATCCTGAAGCACTACATGGTCTTTAAAGAAAATTGGGAAACTACAGAAAGTTGTAGAAGAAGGAAAAACCTCATATTTCTGTCACCCAAGTACACCCATTGTTAGTGCTTTGGTATTGGGTGTACTTGCTCATTTTCATCTTTCTCCCCCACTGATGTAGCTGTACATAAGCGTCTTCTGTAGCTTTGAAATGTGAATGCCCATTGCATAGTTTTCACGAGCAGGTGTGAAGTACACGAGGATTAGTTGCACACCTGAAAACTGATCACTGGATCCTGAGACTTATTACTGGATTTTCCTTCTTAATGAGCCTGACATGAATGGACCCAAAGAAATGATGAACTAAAATCTGTAGTTTGGTTATAATTCTGCCCTTGGATTGAGGAGCTCAGGTTTTGATGTGCTCAGATTTTAAAAAGCGCATAGCTTATTTCGTTCACTGATGTGTGTCTCCTGCCATCCCTCCTCCCACCCAGCAGGAAGGCAGTTAGGGTTAGGGCACAGCCATGGTAACTCAGCAGGCGACTGGGCTTTGTTCTGATTAGAATTCACTTGGGCTGTTTATCCACACAGAACTGAATTTAAGACACACACACACACACACACACACACAGAGAGACAGAGACAGAAATTAATGTTACTAAGTGATCTCTTCTGATAGTGATTGTTGCTTGCAGTGTTTGATTGGTGGCTGTATTATTAGAAAAGAGTATCTTTCTTCCCTTCATGATGACGTTATTGGACAGTGAGTACTTCAGGGGCCACAATGTAAGTGTGTGGGGCTTAGACTTTGCATCCCTTTGGTAACAGGTCATTTTCTGGGTAACTCCATGCTTGTTCAACAAAATGTGCCTGAAACACGGGTTATCCATCAATTATGCTCTGCTGGGGGCCGAGCTTGATGGCTGTGAAATAGAAGCTTTGCAGAAATGCTCCCACTACATTTCTCTCAGGTCCTCATGCTTCCCGGAGCCAGGGCCATGGTGGAAGCTCCAGGACTGAGTTTGTGCCTTCCTCTTGGGACTGACATGGAGACACCTTCGAGGGACAGGGTGGCTGAAGCTTGCTCAGTCAGGGCCCCTCCCTTGCCTAGGTATTTTCTAGCCAGGATGGACTTGGGCGTTGCTTGGATGTCATCATTCCAGCTAATCCCAGAGGGCTTTGGGCCAGGGTGGGATTCACAATGGATTTTACACACACCCTTGAACTACAGGCTTTTATAACGTGGCTTCTACTCTGAAGGACTCACTGTCAAGTTGTATGTGAAGACTTTTATAATGATGATATGTAACCAGAGCAAACACAGTGTCTTCAGATTCAGACTTTCTTTTATATTCTGTAAGATGTGCTATGTAAGGGTTGGTGAGGTCGCATTCAGTCTCCATTTTGCGGGGAGTGATTTAAGCCCTTTTGGAATGGAGCTTTGCACTTTATGTGTTTTGTAAACTACCATAACTATGTTTAATATTAAAGCCGTAAGTGGCATTTTCTGTGAATAAGTATGTTTGTGTGTGTGTGTTTCCAAAATGATTTCCAAAGAATCTGCAGTGCCTGTGCATTTCATGGATTGTAGAGCAAAAAAAGCACATTTACCTAAGTTCATTTGTTAATGAATTTGGGAGTCATTGTTACTAACATGCTTGATATGAAGTTTATTAGGACAGTTATGTCTATAGTTGTGTCATACGGATATAGAGGCTCAGATACAGATCATAGTTCATTTGTGATAGGTTTCATCCAGGCACTGGAGAAAAGGTCTGACATTTCAAAACGTTAAGTGACTTTAGCAGGAGAATTTGCATATACCTATAAAGTTTTCTTAAAACTTCATTGGCCCTCAGAGAAGAACAAGACAAGCATCACCATAAGTGTTTTTTGTATTTCCTGGCTGAGGCGAAGGGATGAGGGTGGCCTCAGAGCCCTCGGACTTCTGGTGAAAGCTGAGTTTTCCTCTCTCAGATGATACCTGTGAAAATGATTTCCTGGTAGGTCGAATATCCCTAGCATCCCACCCAAACAAAGAACACTTGTGCAAGAGGATGAGACAAGAATTTGAATCCTGACTGATGTTAAAATTGGTTCCTCGGCCCTCGGTCAAATTTCTTTTCAGGCTGTGATCAGGGGTAGAGCTGAGGAAATGGAGGGCTCTGCATTACAAGGGACTGTGGTGTCACCCTCTGCTTGCCTTCCCACCCCTGTGACACTGTCCTCTTGTCCTCGTCTGGCCCAAGGGGATGCCATTTCTACAGCTCCCTTTCCCCACCTGACTTGGAGGACCAGAGCTGGGACCTCGCCTCCCTGATTCTCTGGTGTTTAAGGACTTCACATTGAAGTCCACGTGGGTATACGTCCAAAGGAAAGGAATCTGTATCGGGGAATACCTGTGCTGCACGTTATGGCAGCCATTCACAGTGGCCAAGTGATAGAATAAACCAAGCTGGGCATTGACAGTTGAATGGATAAAGAAGTATTAGCAACCATAGCACGAAGTCCTGTCACCTGAGGCCACACTGATGGAACTGGAGGACACTGTGTTATATCAGCTGGGCACAGAAAGTGTGTCACATATGGAAAGTAAGGGTGATCTCAGATTAGGGAGGGACGGTGGCCACTGGATTACCGGTTACTGACATGCAGTTAGACCGGAGGAATGAGTTCTGGCGTTCTAGCACGACAGGAGTTTACACCACTTCCTGATATATTTTATAAAGAAGTGGAACAGAAGAGCTTTCCAGGGGCCAACACAAGAAAATGCTGAAGAGACCGGAGTGGGCACTGTCCTGATGTCATCAGCGCACATCATGTACATGAATTGCCCCGTCGTGTTCCATCGTGTGTGCGATTTTATGTCAAAGATTACACTGCATTACACTCAAAGAGTTTTATATTAGAAGACTGTACCTGGGCTGGAGCGGGGCAGGCCCAGGGTGCTGGCCACTTAACATATTAGCAGTCCTCAACAAATGGAAGCTTACATTTTCCTGGAGAACTGTTTTCAGGTTTATATTATCTATTTTTCAGTGTTGAATTTTTCCATAATGACAAAGTTGAAAAATAGGAGTTTTTCATAAGTTAAAAATCCCTCCCCCATATATATATTTCAGAGAGAGTCTTGCTAAGTTGCCCAAGAGTCTCAGTCTTTAACCCCTGACTTCAAGTGATCCTCCTGCCTCGGGATCCTGAGGTCCATCATTTATCTAGCACTTCTGACTGGGATCTTCAGACTGTTGTAACCATTTATCTGGGAAGCCTTTTCTCTGGGTGTTAACTCCCAAAGGGGGGAAGATTGGCCTCACACAGACTTCTGCGTGTTCCTTTCGTATCTCCTGAGGGCAAAGCATCAGATTCATCTGCTTTTGCAGTTCAGCACAGAGACTGACACTATTTCTAAAATGCAACCAACAGCAATAGGGTCATTGAAAGGAATTCTTACGTGAAAGTGGCGGAAGGTACCTGGGATTGACGTAGTTGTCAGATTACTGCGAACAAAGCAGACCTGCTGGGAGGGGCTGGGAGACACTCCTGGAGAAGTACCGCCATCTGTTGGTCATTTGTGGGTACTGTTATCTGCGGCGCAGGCGAAGACCTCAGCCCCAGTCACCTCGGAACTCACTGTGACCTGCCACCTCCTGCTTTGCCCTGTGGGCTTTCCTTAGCTTTTCCCGGAGCCCTCTGCCTGCCTTTTCCTCTTCCGTCAGCAACTCATTCTTTGCCCACTGAGTGTTTGCTTTTATTACAATTTAGGAATCTGCTAAATGTGACTAGGAGGATAAATTTCTGTCTGCAGACCTTAGCAGAGATGGGGTTCAGAGGAAGTGTTTAATCCCCGGAGCCACGTCTAGTTTTTGGTATTAATATCTCCATTGATACAAGTCAAGTGCTGCTACAATCCATATTTTACTGAGACAAACTCCAGCTTATTATTTATTATTAATTTGCGCAGAATTGGTGTTGAATTCAGGGCTTTCAAAGAGCTATGTCCTCAGTCCTTCCCACTGCTTATCTTGAGACAGGAGCTCACTGAGTTTCCCAGGCTAGGTGTGTACCTGGGATCCTCCTGTCTCAGCCTTCTAGAGTGCTAGACTTACAGGTATGTGCCACCATGCCCAGTTTATTTTTTAAAATTCATCTTGTAGTGCTCAGGATGAAGCCCAGGACCTCATAAAGGTTAGGCAGGCACCGTGACTCTGCTCCTGACCTATACCCAGCCCCAGGCCAAGCTCTGTTTAAATCAACCCTCAGCCTGCTCAGCTAGGAGTCCCCATCCTGCAGGGAAGGGAGAATTGTATAGCTGAGCCACCAGTGCTGCAGGGGCAGCAGAGAGTGGGAGCTCAGCTAGGAGGGTGGAATTCGAGGCTCTAAGCTTTCACTGATAGCCATGAGCACCTTAATAATTCACAGCCTCGGCCTGAAAGACTGAAAGACTCCCTCCTAGGCCCTCTGGGAGTGTTGTTTTCTTACAAGCAAACCTGATCTGAGGGCCTGTACCGTAAACTACCTTTCCTGTAAATTGTGTTCTTACCTCCTCGCTGTTGTTTTGTGAAGACAATGTTGCTTTGTTCCTGTTTTGGACGACAGATGCTCAGACTTTTATTTTTTAAAAATCCATTTTATTTCAAAGAGAAAAAAATAAAATTTCAAAACACAGCAATCAGGGGACAGTGATGGTACACACATTGATTATGGCCATCCCCAAATCAGTCTCCCAGAGCCCAAGACATCGGCATTCAACTATGAGCAGTACCTGGACAAAGCTTTCTCTTCAGTGAACTCAGAGAAATCAGTAGTATAGCTACCTTTACTATATTATACATAACTTTAGCTCCTCACAGTATGGAACAATATGTTTGCACATGTATGTCTGATTTCACTTATGAGTATGGTCTCCAGTTGTATCCATTTACCTATAAATGTCTCAAGTTTGTCCTGTTTATGGCTGAGTAGGACTCCATTGCATAAAAGTACCACATCTTTTTTACCCATTCCTCAGTTGATTGGTATTCAGGTTGTTTCCAAGATTTAGCTATTACAAATTGTGCTTCTATAAACATAGATGCATATTATTAATTCTTCCAAAAATATACAAGAAGGGAAAGGCTGGGTCAAATAGGACCTCCAATCTTAGTTTTCTGAGGAATCTCCACACTGATTTCCACAGTGGTTGCACCAGTCTGCACTCCCACCAACAGTGGAGAAGGCTTCCTGTTTCCCCACAGCCCCTCCAGCATTGTTATTCACTGATTTCTTGATGATAGCCATTCTTCTGGGGTGAGGGAGAATCTCAGTGTTGTTTTCTTTTGCATCCCTTGAATGATCAGTGATATTGAACATTTTTTCATATATTTATTTGCCATTTGTATTTCTTCATCTCAGAAGTGTATATTCATCTCAGATGCCCATTTTTGGACTGGATCTTTAAATCCAGGAGGACTGATTTTTTTAAGTTCTTTATGTTCTCCATAGTAATCCTCTGTCTGAGGTACAGCTGGCAAACATTTTCTCCCACGTTGTGGGCTGTCTCTTTGCTCTGTTGATGGTTGCTTTGATGTGCAAAAGCTTTTCAATAGGGTGAGATCCCAGTTGTTGATTCTTTGTGAAAGGTCCTGTGCAATTGGGGTTTCTTTGCCTATACCAATGTCTTCAACAGTTTTACCTACTATATCTTCCAGCAGATTTCATGTTGCTGTTTTAATATTTAGATTTTTGATCCATTCTGATTTTAGCTTAGTGCAACCTGAAAGCTATGGGTCCAATTTTAATCTTCAGCATGTGCAGATCCAGTTTTTCCAGCACCATTTATTCTTCCAGTCAAAGATAAGCTGGCTTAGTGTGTCTGGAGTTGTTTCTGCATCTTCTAATCTGTTTATTGATCTTTGGTCTGTTTTTCTTTTTTGTGCCAGTACCATGCTGTTTTTATCACAATAGCTGTACAGTGTAATTTTAAGTCAGGGATTGTGATGCCCCCTGTCTTGTCTTTGTTGCCTTTGCTATTCTAGGCTTCCTCTGGTTCCAGATAAATTTTAGGATTGTTTTCTCTAATTCTGTGAGATGTGCTATTGGAATTTTGGTTGGGATTGCTTTGAATCTGTGGAACAGTTTTGGATTCATGACTGTTTTCACTATATTGGTTCTTCCTATCCAAGAGCATGGGATATCTCTCCATTTTCTAATATCCTCTTCAATCTCCTTTTTCAGAATATTGTAGTTTTCAATGTAGAAGACTTTTACATTCTTTGTTAGACTGATTCCTAGGTATTTCAGTTTGTTGGATGCTATTTGTGAAAGATTTTGTTTTCCTGATTTCTCTCCCAGTGAATTTGTTATTGTTGTATGGGAAGACTATTGATTTTTGAGTGTTGACTTTGTATCCAGTTATGCTAATTTACTTATTAAATCTGCAAATTTTTAGTGAGTTTTTGGTGTCTTCTCTGTAAGAGAAGGATACTCTGTGAGTATCCTGTCATCTGCAAATAATGATAGTCTAACTTCTTTCTTTCCT